GCTAAAGGTATAAAACATTTCATACCTGAATCTGATTTAAAATCAGTTTTGGTAAAAGCCTGATTTTATTAGAAATTCCACTATAGCAACAAAAACTTAACGAAGTATATAAAAAAATATTAAAAATATGTATTAATTTCAAAATTGATTATATGTGTTAAAAAAACTTGATATATTTGAACCATACCTACATAAACCACACCACCTATTTTATTAAGAGTATCTAGGGCCTGAAATAGAAATTGCCAATATTTAATTGAGTTAAAGCTGACAACTTGATTTTTAAGTCTACATATAACATATGGAATTTAACACATCACTTACTTAATATTATATAAAAATTTATATGAGTGAATAAAAATACCAAAATGTCTGGGAACTTAACAAGAACTTTATTCATATTTAATAATAAAGCAAAAGAGCTACCTCTCTATAATTTATAAAGAATTATAAAAAATAAAAAAGAAATTATAAGAAATTATATGAAATTATGAAAACATTTATCTAAGAAATTACACTACACATAATATTCCAAAATACATTAAAACTTTCCACTTAAATTAACCTACGAACCATCTGAAAGTAAAGTGCCGTTGCCGTAGTCTAAATAGTTTAATACATTTATGACAAAGGTGCAATAACTTCTTGAAATTTAACAAAAAAAAAAAACCCTTAAAATAAATTGTAAAACAAAATAGAGAAATTTAAGCATAAAAAATTTTATATATACTTTTAACTAAAAAAAAGTAAATGTTTTTTAAATGCTGCCTCTATATGCATTCTAAGGCTAAAGTAAGCATTAAATCAAAAAAGTGCCTCTTTAATTTCTTTATAGGTTCATATTTATTAAGATCCACAATCTTATTCTGCAATTTGATTTCATTTATTGAGATCTTAAACTAAAGATAATGAGAATTGTAAAATGCAGTTGCAGTATATTTATATATTTATCGCCAAATATCTGTATAAAATAACAGACAGCTCTAGGAACTTAAGAAGATATGTAGTTAAGTTTATATGTGAAGTAAAAATGATGAAAATAGTTGCGGAAAAAATAGTTGTATTATCACATTATCTTAACAGAGATTATAATAATAAATATACCAAATTTTCTGATATTGTCGAGAAGCAGTCAAAATGGGTTTTTATCTATCTGTAACTCTCGATAAGAAGTATTAAGGTTTTGCTGTCAATGAGCTATCTTTCAGAAATCAAACTTTTAGTTTCCCAGTTTACTATTGTGTTCATTCTGTGTTCTGGATTTCTCATTCCAGTTCTGTGTTGGATGTCTCCTTCCCACGAAATATAAGGCTTCTTCAACTTCTTATTTTTGCTTAAATAATTATTTCAATAACTGGCTATATAAAATTGCTAATTGAAAGCTTTTATGAATAGATAGTAAAAAGTTGACGTCATAACTATTATATAAATATTTTTGCTTATATTAAAATTGTGACATTATTAAATATTTTTGTTGTGTTCTACGAAGATGTCGTATTTAATATTTCATTATTTCCGGTAGCTATTTCATCTCTTTTATGTTTATGTATATATATTTATATTAAAAATTATTGAATATATGGTAAAAGACAATGCAATTTAATTCTTTTAAATTATATTAGAAAGAATTTATACACTTTATCATACAAACTAAAGTAAAACGCATTTAATTGATTTCTAAACAAAGTTTATGGCTTACAAGATCTTTTTTTAAAAGCAATATTAATTGTTCTAAAATTATTTGCATTAATAATTTATAAAATAAATATTTGAAATAGTTCCATGATGTGAAATGAATACCCCCAGACTCTTGTAACCAATTATCGTAAGATTAGGATTGGGTGTGAGTATAGCAGATATATTCACATATATTTCATCTTATAATCCTAAGTTTGAGTAGAATTTATATATAAAATTTTCTCGTTAAAAAATATCAAGAATATAATATTTTTATTCTAAGCATAATTAAGATGAATAGAATACTTCAAAAGCAAACCAGAAAAAGAGATCAAGAAGAAGTTCTCTCTTCTAGAACTAATACGTCATAATATTGTAGAGTAACATCTTTGCAAAATGAAATCTTGCAATTTTTAATAATATACAATAGACAAATGGGAAACCAAAAAAATATTATGGTTTTAAAACAGATTATGAACAAATTTAGAAATAATCGTAAACAACCCAAATGCCAAAGGATGTGCAAATCTACGGAACAACAAACAATTAAATTCGCCGTTGGGTAGTTAAATTCAAGCCAGTATACAATGCAACCAGTGCATATGCATTTTACATATTCTACATACACACATCCTCTGCTTCCATATATAAGTTATATATATGTTATATATATATGTTGGCATTTCCACAATAATCTACACAATAGCATACCAGCAAGTAAAGGCACCTCTCATTTAGGCGAGCTTCAACTAAAACAACACTCCAATTTGGAGCATAGCCTCCGTATTGCACTAGTGGTATCACATGGTAGCAAATTAAAATAGCAAAAGGATTAGCAGGAGCATAAAGCGGTGAGCACTGAATAGTTAAATGGATTTCTGTAATGAAGTACACGAGTTACACGAGCACACAATTCCGACAATATATGCAGTGGAGCTTATTAGAACCGCAGGATATGCTGCTGTTTAAAGGCATAAACAAAACGATCCCGACGTTAACACTGTAATAAAAAGCATATACTCAAAGCCTTGGAGGAAAACTGTTAAATAGGAAATTGTGTACCAGAACCTACTAAACAATATACGACTTGAAAGTATTTGTTTTGGCTTAAGTATTTTTAATTACAGAAATAACGTGCGAATCATAAACGTATTGCTATAATGCAAGATTGTACTCATTTTCAGTCTTTTGGTGTTTGTTGTTATGTTTTTTTAATTGAAAAAATTATAACTAATGGAATAAAATTCCAAAAAATTATGGAATAATGTTAAACTATTAAAAAATACCGTAGAGTATATCTAAACGCTTGCCTACATTGTTTTCCCTAATTCATATGGCAACAGTTAAGTGAGCTCTCGGGAAACAGAATAAATCGACAAATAAGTCGAGGATTTTTTTTCCCGATTTTAGTCAGCCATTATAATATCTTATAAAAACATATTGCTATTGAAGAATTAGCGGAGCGCAAATGTTATAATGATACTATTTAATCACTGAGGAACAAATAGTAAAGCAATGGTGTACTAAACGCAGATATGAATAATCCAAATCAATAGTAAAATATGATTAATAGATATATTTGGATAAGATACAGAAGTGTGAAGAACTAATTGTACTGTAAAAGTATAACATCGAAATGAGTAGTTCCGATAATTATTCATACAAGAAATTTTAATAGTTATATTTTATACATTGTCCTTCATGCTGACCTTTCATTTAAAAAAATTATAGAATACTATTATGAACCAGCGTCATTAATCAAACCTAAAATAATTATGATTGTCAAAGCAAGTATTCAATGTGTTCACCTGACAGAAGTTGTAAATACCTTATACCTGGGTAGATACTATAAATAAGGTAACCGAGTTAGTCTGGTTGGTGGGAAAGAGTTTGATGGCAACAAAACAGTTGACAGATTTGTGAGAGTGCACTTACTCACTTGCTGAGAAATATTCACTTTTCAGACTACTATCACTGCTTAGAAATATAGATAATGCGCTTTTTGGGAAGCGTAGTCGAAGTCGACTCTAAAGCCGTGATGTAATATCTGAACAACAAATTCAGCTACACAACACGAATGACGAGTTTTGAATTAGGGATGCCACCCTTTTCTAATTTTTTTTCAAAATAGGTAATTAAACAAGTTGATGATGGGTGATGTTCAGTTAAATTTCAGTAGATTTTATCTGGCAGTACTTGCGACTGCCAGGAAAGAAGTTCAGTGCCTAATTTAGATCAATCATAAAAGATATATTGTACATTTTTATAGTTCATGATTTTTTTAAAAAAAAATTGCAGTTTACAAAGAAAGTGAGAAATAACACAACACTTAATAATATTCCGAAATAAGAAAAACTGATTTTTTTTTAAATTTCACATTAGGGGTCAACCTACAATTCCTTAGGAGTTATATTAGGAGTCTCTTCTAAAGTCTGGATGAGAGTTTTGTAAAACATATTATTTTTGCTTATAAATTACGCTTATTACGCTTATTACGCGATTCCAACAACTAGTGGACAGTAAGAACCAAATCTGTTAAACCTGTTAATATATATGCAGTTATATAAATATTATGTAGAAACCATTTTAATACACTGGGGGCTTGCTGTTTATGTTCAAGTGTGAATTGACATTGTATCCACTTTCAATGTATCTTACAAATGTCAAAATTTTTGTGTTTACATATTTAGTCCAAACAGTTGCCAATATGACAAAAAAGTCTCGTTCAAGAAGTATTAATCACCCAGTCACAGTTAAGCAGCTATTCTAACTCACTTCGGCAAGTTTTTCTACTAAAGTTTGGTGTTAAAATCAAAATTAGCTCGAGTGAAACCTGTACAATATGATTTACTTTACTACTGAATAAACTCTTAAATATTTCCTAGAAATATTATACATAAATCTAAATGATCAGTTCTTCATTTCTATTAAGTTCTTATTAACTTAAAAGCCCTCAAACACCTTTTTCGAAAATTTATATGCCATAAATGTGTTCAAAACAAAATTCTAATAAACTGTTCTCATAACAGTAGATAATGCCTCAGAGACCCTTTTTCTGTAGCATAGGGTAAATGCAGAGTATAAAAATATTTTTATTACAAACCAGTTTTTGGCAAGTTTTTACCTCAGTAAGCAATGATTCAAAATACAAAGTCATATTAATATAGAAATTCTTATTTCCAAATATGAAAAAGGAAAAAAAAATTTAGTTAATTCACAAAATTTATTTGGACAAAATTTGAACACTTAAAATTTTAGCGTTAAGCAAAAAAAAAATCTTTTTACATATTTGACTATATCTTCATAAGGATTTAACGCACAAAATGGGATTCGATTGTAATTTGGTCGTAGGAACTTACAATCCAAATACTATTTGCAGAATATGTTTGGATGTTATAGAAGATCCCTCAGAATGCAAACCATGTTGCCACACTTTCTGTGCTACTTGTATCAACGCTTGGCTTTCCAAACACAAGTTTTGTCCCATAGATCGCTTGCCTGTGATCACCCGAAAAAGTTCCACTGGCATCGTCTATAAGTTGCTTTTACGTACACGAATTAAATGCAAATTTCGCAAATATGGATGCACGGATGAATTGTACTTAATTGAATTTAGAGATCATTTAAAACAATGCCTATTTCATCCTGAAAAAGAGTACATATGTTCCAAGGGTTGTGGCTGTGAAGTGAAACGAAAACACGAAAGAAGGCATAACTGTATTCAGCATTTAGCAGGCTTAATCGCTAAGTATCAACCCAGAATATGCGGACAAAGTCTTTGTCTTCCGGACTCTCAACAAAGTTTGGATAGCCTGAAAAGTGAGTGGAGTGACATGTGTAAATTCATATATATGAAGTATGGTATCGATTTAAGACCCAAGGATACTAGTATCACATATCCGCATATTGTAAGAAAGAACTTATTTGATTGGGGTGCATCGCTACCATTAGCCACTGTAGAAAGGTGGCAAAATATCTACGCCAGCCCAACACGTATAATGCTAGAAGAGTTGAAGAATGCTTTGGTGGCCTGTAAGTGTCCTGCAGGTTTTCTGAAAAGTTTCTTGCAAAATTGCAATGAACGTTATTGGCCTCCTGGTATAGGTGATTTATGTATTCGTCGTCTTAATTGTGATAAGTTGAAAAATTACGTGTTAAGGAAAATTCCGAACATGCAAGCGGTTGTGATGATATTTTATCAAAATAAACATATTGATCCTCACTTCAAACTTTATCCTGGATTGACATTTATTTTTGAAAGTGGAGTACACGAACTGATTTAGTTTTAATCAAATCTATTTGTTTCAATGTTTCAGAAAAAACGTAAAAATTGTGAGAAACTGTTTTACTCTAAAATTGTCCAATAAAAAATGTGAGCCTCAGACAAAAATAGGCAACAAGAAATATTATCAGCTGTGTTTCTTAAATATTGGCTATAAAGGCTTCTTTGTCGGGGATTATTGATTGTTGCATTAGAGCACAAAACTGTAAAGATTTGTTTTGATTTATGAAGGATTTGAGATTGAGACCCAAAAATAATATTTAAATCATAATGAAGACCTCAAATATCCCTATTGTGATTTTTCTTGGAACTGTTCACACACTCGCTCTATACTCTGGATCACCACATTTACTGACTGACAGTGGGTTTAATTATTTTTAAATGACTGTCATGATAGTATCTAATATTGAAATGATAATATTTCCAAATTTATGATAAGGATGAGGCAACATTTTTTGCCCCATATTTGAATAGTAGAAATCAACGATTGGACGATCAAGTAATTTCTCACTCTTTAAATGGTTCATGTTTTATATTCCATTATGATGTCGCTCATCTGTATATACTAAATTCTTGCTTTAAAACGCAAATAATTCAACTCAATAATAATGGGAAGAAGTGAGATTAGTTTTAAATACATATTTAGTGAGTTAGAATGAAAATACAATAGTGATGGATAAATATGTGAAATTATATAGACCAGACTCCAGTACTTTCCGTTCACTCAGTGCTCATATATTATTATATTTCTACCATTTCTGTGATAGGGTTATATTACGATTTTTGGGTTCTCGTAATACAGGATACAACAAATTATGTGATGTATATGAGAACCCTCAGTATTATGTCCTAATTCATATTAAACACATATCCGTATAAATATCAATCAAGGTACATTTCGTCCATTTGTGTCGAATAACAAAGATAAGAGAGCACAATTACTGTTTCATGTATTTATATTCAGAAATTTTAAAACAAGAAAAATAAAAATATATTATATATATTATACATATATTGTAATTATACCAAAATTAAACGAGGCTAGATATTAAGGTCTCAGAAATTTGGCAATAGTAACAGTGTACTTTTTTCTCCATTTAGTATTAAAGCAAAGAAGTATAAGTACAAGTATGTCAACTAGTATTAGAAATAAGTTTAGCTTTAACTCATTGTAGATAGAAGCGAGTCAATTTACCTGAAATTTTTTTCGCGCTGTACGTTCGTATCCACTAATTCATATATAAATGTTATAAATATAAAGGTTAAAATCCATTTCCTATAGTGTAGAAAGAGAAAAATATACTTATGGCAATTAAAAATTTTAATTGTGAAAATTTCCTTTTCTGTCTAAAGAAAACATTTAAAAGTTTATATCCTTTTGTTAAGGTCAGTTGGGTTGTATTATACTATCCTCAAGATACTAGTTCTATTCTTACACCATTTAACCATTTTTTAAAGATTTTTATTTATTTTTATTAGTTTTATTACTTAATACAACGGACGTCAATATTTTGTAGTACTTATCTTCATCAACAAAGAACACTATTCGTGATGCCCGACAAAGTATTAGAGAATACTTATTATACGTGTTGTTGAGGGTTATGTTAGAGTAGAAGACGATTGGTTTAGAGTTTTAATTTCCAGAGATGTATAGTAGATATATTAGAGTACAGACATAATGACGCAACACTCGGAAAAATTATTTGATTAATTTAACCAGATTTTAACCAGATTTTAACCAAATCTCAGATCATAATATTCTTATTCAACGCATTATATTAGTTCAATCACACCACATGTTGGTTATCATAGCTTCACCACATGAGTTAAAATTTCTCTCTGAAAATAATCAGGTAAATTTAACTAGTATGTGGTTGGCGCATATTTTTTTGAGTGTATTTACTAAAAGTTGCAGTATGGTTTACTTTACTAAAGTACATAATGTTTTAGGCCCCTATTATGTACTTTATAGTATTATCGTCAGTCGTGCAGCCATTTATATCATTGGTAGCTGTTATGCAACCTGAGACCAGCAAGTTGGGTATTAAATTAATGAAACCCATTTCTGATATCATGTGAAGCAACTTCGAAAAAAAATTCATGTTCCATACTTTTAATTAGCTTCAAAGCTTTTATGTGCCTTTTTAATTTTGACTGGAAATGTGGAAACTTCACAAAATTTCTGATATCAGCAGTATATGGTAAAAACTTCCTGCTTTCAAATACAAGAGGTTGGATTATGTTTTAGCCGCAAAATGAGGTTGGAGAGATCATGAGATAACCTTAGCTATTACATTATGACTTTAAAAAGTGTGTTTAGGAACCTAGTAAATTATACAATATATAATGATAAAACTAACAAAAAACAAATATTTAAGGTTTTTCCTGAAATACCTACTATAATAAAAACCTTAAAGGGAGAAATTGTATTCACTTCATAGTAAAGATATAATTTTCTTTCTATTTTCTATTCTATCTAGTTTCCAATTATAAATTATTACAAATTATACATTGTTGTTGTAAATATCTTAAATTAATATTATTTCTCAGAATAACATTATACTATAATATTAATAATTTCTAATGATCTTCTCCTTAAAGCTCTTATATTACTTTAAGGGTTCATTTGTAATAAATTTATGCGTTGATTATCATAAATTCCAAATTAAAATAATTTCCACATTTAGAACATTTCAGTTTTCAACTCAACCATTCAACCATTCAACCATTTGAAATCAGGATGAGATTCCTTAGTTGTCATTCTTGAATTTTTAACTGCGTGACAGGATAACAGTTTTGTATTAGGAACACGTTTCCAGTGTTAAGCAACGAAATGTGTTCATAATAATACAAAAGTAACATGAGCAACACTTATACGACAATTTGAGGCAATTTGAGCCTCTGTTGTTGTTGCTTCTAGTTCAGTGAAGGAGCATGGTTGAATGGCAAAAATGTTGATACCACTAAAAGGTGTCAACACCAAAGTCTCTTACGCTGAGTTTTCTGTCCTTTTTGCTTTTTGCCTTACATGATGTTCGGGTAATTGTTATACTGGATAAATCACAACAACAAGAACAACAACAACAACAGCAATAACAACAAATAGAGCTATGTGAATCTGTAGCTAAACGTAAAAGCAGACAGTTTGGCACATTATCAAACCATTAAGCCACCACTCTGTGGTGAAGGGAATATCTTGAGAGTAAGATTATTTTCTAGTGCTCAAGTCAGAAGTGTCAAATCATATTACTGCAGATTTCACTGAACCGCTTGGTAGGTGAAACATTTTTTAGGATTTGAGTTGATTTGAAACGCAATTTTTAATTTAAAAAGATATCAACTGCTATGAAGTTATTTTACGAACATTTTTATATATAGATACGAGTATATAGACTGTATATTTTTTGGTAAAATTTAAAACATTTCAAACAGTTTCACAAATGTGATGTGAAAATATTCGAGTTAGAAAATTTCTTTTATAGTGAAAAAATAAATTGCAAAAAAAGCAGAATGGCCGATGCTTTAAAAATAAGCTGCACATGGTACGAACCACACGCTGTCATAACACGACCACAGGATACAAGCCTTGTTATGGGTATCCTGCAGATTAGAGTTCGCATTAAATCGCTAATAACAAAAGCTGTAGAAATGCTAGACTCGCTTGTTTACTTCTGCAATGCCAAAAACCAACAATGCCGGGGTCATGCATCAAACGAGCAAATGCCCATGGGATGAACCTGCTTCGTTAAGGTCTAAAAGAACAAAATTAAACAACCACGTTGATATGTACACAGATACAAACTCCTGTTGGAGTTGGAGTTGGAGTAGTTACCAAACACAAAAGGTATTGAAGCAGTTGTGTAAAAAGCAGATACATATTATATCAAAAATAATAAAAAAAAGAAAACAGAATGAAATAACGTAAAATATTAGCCAACATAAATACTTGAAAATAAACAGGGAATTTAAGACATTTTATCGCTGCTTATTTAGCGTTATAATTGCCAACATTTAGTAGCTCAGCTTCTACGGTGAACGTCATGTTATACGGCGGATATTGGCCCACTTTATATTCATGAGGTGTGCTACTGATGCTGCCTCCGCCACTGATGCTGACTCCCTAAGGTATGATTTTATTCATACGCATTGTTATGCTTCAACAAAATTATTCTCTTCAACTACAGCTTTTGATTGCATATTGGTTTAATTATAATGTTTGTACTGCCAACTGCGAAGGAGTCAGTGGAAGTGAAGTTCACTTAAAAAGTTTATGTTAAATATTTTTTTTATTTGGAAAATATATTCTAAAGCCTTTAAAAGCATTTTTTTTAATTCAGAATTTTGACTGACCTGTAAATATTTTATTAAGCTTATTCTTGCAAATACCAGGAAATTCGAGAGACAACGAATGAAACTGAACAATAAAAAAATAAAACAATTAAATTAAATTTAATATAAATATGCATAAAAAATATTACTAATCATAAAATCATAAAAAATAAACAAACAATAAAAATTGTATAAGTCAACTTTAAAGTCGGCCCTTCCGAAGTAACCTGTACTCCTGCCTAAAGTATGGTGTTAATCTACTATGTCTTTCAGATCATAACTGGCTTAAAGTATCTGTTTCGAAGTGGTAATATTAGTGTTTGGAGAAAGAAAAAAGTCATGACTGTTAAGTCCTTACATAGTTCCTTAAGAATAGCAATAAATTCGTCACTAACTCTCAACGGAGCGCAGCACTTCGACCATGATTGATTTTTTACGACAGGCATGTCTTACCTCAAGAATATTCTAGCCCCTTCACAGCAGGAGACATCATATACAAGTATATAATTTATTATATATGTAAGCCTGTTAAGCAGTTATATATTATAGTCAAGTAGTAGCAGTGGTTAAGTTAAGCAGTCAAGTAAAAGTCGGTCAAGCAGTTTTATAGTCGAGCAGTAATGGTGGTAGTAGTGAAGTCAGCAGTTAAAGAGTACAGTCGTGTATATTGAT